TTGAAGTCCACTCCAACCATTCCAACCTCTCCCACTACAAACACGCCATCAATCACACTGGCCACACACCCGTCATGCCAATCCAAACTCCCATGATGCATAGCACATTCAACCCAATGGTACCTTCTGCTTTCACCAACATGTCATTTACGAATACCCGGAAAACACCATAACAGGTTACTCTATCCAACTTCTCCAACAAAGTGTGCAATCCTGCTTCAAGCCCCTTCAAACGCCTCACCCCACGCCCACTGTAAAGCTCCGCCAAATACCCTCTTCGAACAGTGCCGGTACAGTGATTCACCCTCCACCCAAAACCCACAGCTACTTCCATAGAACTGCGCCCTAACATCCCCAATTTCAACACGCCACCAGAAATCACACGACAACTGCTCAAACAAAAATATTCGCCTCAGCTTAACACACCCTCATTCTCGCCAGTCTTCCTCCCGCCAAACGTCCTCCCAACACACTAACACTAAATTTAAAAACATCTCCACCACAAGAATACTGCACAGCGAGACTACTTGACCCCTATCGCCGTCGCCCAACCCTTCCACCTCACATAAACAGGACTTGCCTACAGACTTTCACTCACCCCCATCACAGAGTCACTAAACAAGTGCCCGTCGTCTCACCTCCAAAGACGTTATTCCCACCACCCTCACGCTGTGGCTTTAGAACAAACTTGTCCGGCCCTCGACGACACTCATCCACCATCTTCTCTATCACCACTGGGTCGGCAAAATTAAAGTCCGTCGAGAGCACCGTCTGACGCGCAAAAGCGGCCGCCAGACGCTCCGCCGTCCCTACACTGACTCCAAAACGCGACAACGACGTCGAACCGGCGGCGAGAGCGGTCTGTACCAACTTCATGTTCGCCAACAGATAATCAATCGAGGGACACTTGATTGCAAGACTTCGCTCCAATCGCAGTTTCGTCTGCCAAGCCTGCAAACAACACCATCGACGGCAGAACTTGTAAATAACACACACCTATCGCCTATCGCGGACGCATGAACAAACCTCTGACTGTGGTAAGTAGGGCACAAAGAAGGCGCCTGCCGATAACATTAACAGACCTTAACAACCACTGTTTGAAATTGGGCTTGGCAACAAAATCACTCAATACAAACCAACCATGGACAGGACAATGCCTTCAACTATGTGCTGCGATTTGACCTGCGGACAGAGCTCAAGACAATAACAATGACGGCTATCACTAGGCCCTACCCTTTACTAAACGACTGAGCATAATGTAGATTCAATCCTACTTCCAACACCAAATCGCTCCCTACTTTCATCCAAGGCGTGCCGTTGCTTTGCACTGATCACAACAGTGTGGAAACTTAATTGCTAACTAATTACAAAGTCACACAACACTCACCTCCTCATCAAAGTGGTGCGGAGCATAGCCTGTGCGGTAGTACACGAGGGCAACTTCATGACCATCTCTGATATCAACAAAACCCACTCGTTACGGTTCGCAGTTGGTTGCACCAGGAAGGTAAGAGTACCACAACGTACACAAAGAGACGTCCAGTGCTCTCCTCCACAACCACACGTCTTGCCGACTCTCCCAGCTCAGCAAACGTACGCCGAAGAAGACGAAGGGCGACATTGGCACACAACATAGCCTCCTCTATGCTGCGCTGATCGTAGATGTTTGTCTCGTTCTCCGACACCACCATAAGGACAGCCGGAAGACAAGTGCGTTGCAAGTGTGCACTACTCTTCACGTACTCCTCCACCGCACGAGCAATCGCACTTCCAAATCTCGTTGCCGATGGACAGCCACGTAGCTACACAAATTGGCGCACTCACAATCTCAAAACCTCCCTCTCAGACGTCCTCCCTCAGCACTTCGCAATAACTGTTAGCTAAGCCATTCCAACGACATCGCAGCAAGAACAAGATTATCACTGCCATAACTAAGGTTCCACAACACACCATAAAAATCTCTGCAAAGGAACAGTTGGTGCCACAAGTTCAGTACAAAGAGAAATGCAGACTGTGCTTCAAATCAATCCACAACAAACCTCTCAATGTGCATACAACTGGTTGTTCAGCATGCACCCCGCACCCACCTCACCCAAACACACTCATGCGAAAGCTATACCCCAATGCATGGCCACACTGAT